TTTTTTTTTTTTTTTTTTTTTTTTTTTTTCTTTATTACTATTATTATTATTATTATTATTATTATTATTATTATTATTATTTTCTTCTTCTTTTTCTTCTTCTTTTTCTTCTTCTTCTTCTTCTTTATTAGGTATACTACTTATAAATATATTTGATGGTTTTAGATCACGGTGTAATACAGGACGAGGAGGATTACCTGCATAAATAAATAAATTAATTAATTAATTAATTAATTAATTAATTAATTAATTAATTAATACATTTATTAAGAGCAGCAGCAAGAAGAAGGAGGCGAGAAAGAGCAACAGCAACAGCAGCAAGAAAAAATAAATAGCAACAATTATTATATTCTTATATATATTATCATTTCTAGGGTTTAGGGTTTAGGGTTTAGGGTTTAGGAGTATTAATAAGAAGAAATATATAATTAATTATTTCTTTTTTTTATTTTATTTTATTTAATTAAATAAGGGTTTATTAATTAGTGTGTATTAATTAGGGTTTAGGGTTTATTATAAATTAGGGTTTAGGGTTTACAACAATCGTAAACCCTAATATTTATTAATTAAATTAAACCCTCGTAATACCAATACAATATCTAACCCTTAATTAGGGTTTAGGGTTTAGGGTTTAGGGTTTAGGGTTTACTACAAATTAGTATTTAGACCATGTGTATGTCCATATATACATATATAAACCCTCATTGTATAGGAATTAGTGTTTAGGGTTTAGTGTTTAGGGTTTAGGGTTTACAATAAGCACTAATATCTCCATGACAATAAGCAAGTCCTCTTAATATATAAATAATAAATATTGTATCTATTCCCTCTACAAATTAGGGTTTAGGGTTTAGGGTTTAGGGTTTAGTATATATACCATATATATATATCTCAATGAATATAACCCATCATTGTATAGGAATTAGTGTTTAGGGTTTAGGGTTTAGGGTTTAGGGTATATATATAATATATACATATAAATAAATAGATAAATAAATAAATAGATAAATAAATAGATAGAAAAGTAGAGAATAAATAACTTACCAACACCAGCATGACAATAAGCAAGTGCTCTTAATATTTGTATAAGAATAAATAATATTTTATCTTCTTTTATTCCCCCTAAATATTTATATGCAGTCTCAATTAATTTATGTAGATCTCCTTGATCACAATACTCCATGAATATAATTAATAATTGTTTTTTTTTTATAATTAAATATTCATAAAAATTAACTATATTTATATGATTTAAATTCTTCATTATATTTACTTCGTATACTAATTGTTGTTTCTCACGAAGACGTAAACCACCATAATGTATTAATTTACTACATAATAATGCACCAGTTAACTGCAGCAGCAGCAGCACCACCAGCAGCACCAGCAGCAGCAGCAGATATAGATGGATAGTACAGAGGGGGAGGAGAGGAATAGAAAGAGGGGTTATAAGGTATATATTATATGTATTTATATATAATGATAGAAATTGCAACAACAACTTGTGCAGCAACAAATGCAGCAGCAACAGCAGCAACAGCAACAGGTAGAACAGCAGCAGCAGCAAATAAAACAGCAACAATAGATATAATTATTCAAGAGGAACAAGAAAAGGGGTTATACTATATATCTAAATATTATAGATAATATATAATACAAGAAATAGCAGCAACAGCAGCAGCAGCAGCAGCAACTGCAGCAGCAGCAGCAGCAAATTACCTTATGACGTATAAGAGAAACTTTACCATATTGTCCTTGGCCTAATGGACGAATAAATTCAAACTCTGCTAAACGTGGATTCTCTTCATAATCCATCCTGCAGCAGCAGCAGCAGCAGCAGCAGCAGCAGCAGCAGCAACAGCAGCAGCAAATGCAGCAGCAGTCAGTAGTACGAGAAATCTGTTTGGTATAATGTGGCAATGCTGCTGCTACTGCTGCTGTGTTTATATATGTATATATTATTATGATTACTACTACTACTTCTGCTGTTGTTGTTGTTGTTGCTGCTGCTGCTGCTGCTGCTGCTGTTGCTGCTGCTACTTACGGTGTTGCATGAGGGAAGATATCTGTTGGTTGTGACATTGTTTGCTGCTGCATTGAGTAATCGGAAGCAACTTGTTGCTGCACCATTTTCTGCTGCTGCTGCTGCTGCTGCTGCTGCTGCAGTTGCTGCTGCTGCATTTGCTGGTGCTGTTGCTGCTGTTGCCGTTGCTGCATCTAGCAGTTCAGCAACAACAGGAGTATATTCTTTCTGTGTTTATTATGCTGCTTTTGTTGCTGTTGCACAGCAGCAGCAGCAGCAGCAGCAGCACCAGCTGTTGCTGTTGCTAAACCGTAGCTGGGGATCGTGTGGAGACGATCCCAGTAATATGTGTTGATCCCTTCAGCAGCAGCAGCAGCAGCGGCAAGAGTCCCCTCCTCCCTCCTTTTCCCTCCTTGCTGCTGCTGCTGCTGCTGCCCCAGCTGCTGCAGCAGCTGCAGATAATATTAGCAGCAGCAAGAAGAAGTTATATAAGAGAGGAATGTATATAATAAGCGAGATAATAAGAAGATAATATAATGTTGCTGCTGTTGCTGCTGTTGCTGCTGTTGCTGCTGCTGCTGCTGCTACTGCGGCAGGAACGGCAGGAAGGAGTACTGTTGCTGTTAATGTTGCTGTTGCTGCTTGTATAAGAAGATAATAAGAAGAATTAGCAGCAGGAGCAGCAGGAGCAGCAGCAAGACATATGCTGCTGGGGGGGGGTGTTTATTTGTGTGCTGCTGCTGCTGCTGCTGCAGCAGCAGCAGCAGAAAGTCAATTAAAAGGTTAAAACAAAAAGAATAAAAGAAGAAGAAATAAAAATAAAAAAGAAAAGAAAAGAAAAAAAGGAAAGAAATACAATAAATTCCCTGGTGGGTGTGCTGCTGCTGCTGCTGCTGCTGCTGCTGCGGTGTATATGCATGTACCACATACATATAACGTATACGTAGTACGTAAGTACGTATGTATATGTATATGTATATATATAAATATAAATAAATATATATAATTATATAGGGGTATAATAGGTTATATTTATTCTTTTTTTTTATATATTAATAATTAATTAAATAAAATAAATAAATAAATAAAAATAAATAAATAAATAAAGAAAAAAAAAAGAAAAAAAAAAAAGAAAAGTATTATAAACCCCACTAATAAACACCCCCACCCCTGAACCACCGTAGAGGGGGAGGACGAATTGCTGGGGTGTATACGGAGGGGGGGCCCCCCAGAATAAGGGGTAGGGGCCCCCGTAAAAAAAAAAAATAAAGAGTAAATAAAAAATAAAAAAAATAAATAAATAAATAAATAAATAAATATAAATAGGAAGAGGAATAAATAAAGAAAAGAAAGTGTCTCCTTATATATGTATATATATATACATATATATATATAAATCCTTATAAGAGGAGACAGTAAGGGTGTATATAAATATATATATTTATTAATTATTTTTTTTTATTTATTTAATTAAATATAATAATAAATATAATAATATAGATAATAGGTGCCTATACACCTGAATAATAGGTAAATATATATAAAGGATAAGAAGAAATATACTTATAAATATGTCTCCTTATAGGGGTATAATTGTCCCCTTAATAAGAAAAAAATATCTCCTTTTCTTGCTAATAAAAGGAGACAAAAAGGGACTAGATACAGCAAAGGTGTCTCCTCAATAAAAAGGAGACACTTTTATTTATTTATATATGTCTCCTTTTGTATCCCCACAACTGTCCCCTTAGGGGTGGCTGGGATCGGGGAGACGACTGGGATCGCCTGTGGGAGGCGATCCCAGACGACTCCCAGGGGGCCC